TGTCAAAAAGGCAATAGGTTCTAAGAAAGCAGAGAGGGCTGCAAAAGAAGAAATGCAGTGTGCTACAGTGTGCTGTGGAAAGCGTCAGGAATTGCTATCAGGCCTTCCCGTAGTCCTGCAAAGAAATCGGAACCCAGAACTGGCAAAATGTGTGGGCTTACTGAGGTCCTAAGAATAGCAGACTCTGGGTGCTCAGGTGTTTCAAAACCTGAATTTAACCCCTGTGGGTAGTTTCTGTCTCCATGACAGATGTTTGAGATAATCCACTTAAAAGGAAGAAAGATATATTTTGGCTCATGGTTCCAGAGTTCCAGTACATGGTCACTCGGATCTGGGCCTATAGCCGAGTAATACATTATGGTGTGAGCATGTGGCACAGCAGGCAACTCACTTCAAGGTGCTCACAAATGAGTGTTGGTCTGCATCTAAAATGATCCCCAAAGCCTCATGTATTTGGAAGGTGATTGGATTATGGGCATTATACATGACTTGTTATTAGGAGATGGGAACTGGTTGGGAAAGGAAGGTTACTCCCTGATTCCTCCCTTTGCTCTCTGCCTGCTATAATGCTTCCTGACCGTGTGGTTCAGAAGCCTTTGGCACTGGTTTGCAGGAGGCATTTGGAAAGACTTGAAGATTCTTGCTAGAGAAGCCTGAGAATGCTCTGAGCCAACCTTGATGGGAAATTCAGGTTGGAGCTCAAAACACCAAAATGTTGATAAAACAGCAGATAGTAAAGTCCAGGCTCAGAAGGTTTGAGTTGAGAACAAGGACTCTACTGGCTGTCAGACCCAAAACCATGTATGTTATGTTCTGGCAAATAATTTTTCTACATTTTACTCATGTCTTGAGACTTTGAGGGAGCCTATGCTTAAAAGAAGCAGAGTAATTTAGAAGAGAAAATTTCAAGGCAGCCCAGCACTCGGGCTGTGGCATGGATACTATTGGTGGCTTTTAACTAACTTTACATTGAGAATCAAGAGCAAATAGCACAGCCATGTTATTTAAAGTTTTTTGACCTTCATCAGAAAGGAAGCTCCAGCGAAGTTGGAGCCTGTAGCTGGGTGTAGGCACAGGCCTGTTATCCCAGGACTCAGGAGGCTGAGGCAAAAAAGATTGCCATGGGTTTGAGGCCATCCTGGGCTACATAGTGAGTTTAAGGCCAGCCTGAATTATGGAGCAAGACCCTATCTCAGAAAACGAAGGAAGGAAGGAAGGAAGGAAGGAAGGAAGGAAAGAAAGAAAGAAAGAAAGAAAGAAAGAAAGAGAAAGTAAGTAAGAAAGAAAGAAAGAGCGAGCCTGTAAATTGTAGCAAAGGAAAGCTTGGTTGCTAAAAAAAAAGAGTATTAAAAAGAAGGCAAGTGGGGCTGGGGATTTAGCTCAGCGGCATAAAGCACCTGCCTTGCAAAGCAGACAGTCGATCCCTGGTACCAATAAAAATGAAAAAGACAAAAAAAATTATTAAAAAGAAGGCAAGTACTCTAGAGCAGGACAATAGAAAATAGCTTGAGGGCATGTCAGACATCAACAAAAGACCCTTGAAGGCTTAAGGCTGCAAGGCTTTAAAGCTTTCATTTTGAACTGAGAACCCTAAGGTACTGTTCTGGAGAAGGGCCACATATGGAATTTGCTACCTAGGGTTCAATTCACAGTGCTCAACCATTCAGGCACTCAGAGGGCTACAGCAGAATAATACATTATGGTGCAATCATGAGGCAAGGCGGGCAACTAACTTCATGAGCTGCCTGCATTTCAGTGAGGGTCTGGCTACCACTCAAGCTGGCAGCAAACCTTGGCATCCACTTGGTGCTTGGTTTTCCAGGAATACAGAATGCAAGAGTTGTGGGGTCAGGAAGGCTGCCACCTAGATTTCATAGGAAGGCCCAGGAAGTCAGGCAGTGCATGAAACTCTGAAAGTGAAGTCAAAAGTGCTGTGGAGACCTCAGAAAATTGGAGAAGCCAAGGACATGGAATGCCTGAGAAAAGTCAAAGGGAGTGAGCAAAGCTAGCCCAAGAAAAAGCTATAAAGACTATAGTGACCAGCAATGCCGTAAGAGTAGAGCCACACAAGTCCTAATGCACATCTTTGACCACAACTTGCCCTGGATGCTGGTCACAGAATTATAGGATTTAATGTTTGCCTGGCTGGTCCCACTGATTTCTATTCTCACATTCCTCCATTTTGGAATAGAGACGTTTATCCTGTGCCACGTATGTCAGCAGTGTTTAATTTTCATTTTGATTTTACAGAAGCACATAACTAAGAGTTTGCCTTGAGTCTCAAAGACTTTGGACATGAACTTTTTAGCACTGCTGGAACTGTTAAGACTTTGGCAACTGTTACAGATGAACCAAACCTGTTTTTTAAAAATTCTTTTTCTTTAATTTTAAAGAGAAAAAAAAACCAAAAAAAATTTTTTTTTGTCTTTTTCGTTTTTATCTGTACCAGGGATCGAACTCACGACTGCCCGCTTGCAAGGCAGGTGCTTATGCCGCTGAGCTAAATCCCCAGCCCCTAAAAAACAAAATTTCAAAAGACAATAATTACAGGGTAACAATGGTATATACATTGTGTATTGTTATCTTCAAATCAGTTACTCAGAGTATTAGACATCTGCATTTAATCATCTGAACAATACTAGCACAGACTTTTCTCTTCAGTGAGCTCAGAGAAATCAGCAGTATAACTATCTTAACTATCTGTCAGCTTCTCACACTAGTGAGATAATACAATGCCAAATATATTTTAAACAAAGAGATTTACACGTGTCTTGGGAGACTAGGGGCAAAATGTTCTGGTTTATATGTAAAATGGCATCCAAAACCTCTTGTGTTTGGACTGTGATGAGATTATTGGGCATTATAGCTAGCCCGCTCTCGGGAGGCAGGTCATTGGGGATGTGACGTGGGAGGTGAAATCTCCCTTCCTGTCTCCTCTCTGCTCCCTGGCTGCCATAACATGAGACGCTTTCTTCTGCCCATGACTTTTACCATGCCTTCCTGCCTTGGAGCTGGCCAACTATGGACAAAAAACAGAGCCACGCATGTGTAGTAAAAAACACATGCACTTACCATTTAACCACTTTTAAGTGTAGAGATCAGTAAAATTAAGTAGATCTGCACTGCTGTTCAAGCATCACAATTCACTTACAGAATAGGAAACTCTGTGCCTGTTAAACACTAGCTCCCCATTTTCTCTTCGTATTAGCCTCTGGCAACCACAGCTCTTCTTTCTGTCTGTACAGATTTGTCTACCCTTGGATTTCACAGAAGAGGAATTACATTATTTGTCCTTTGTGACTGACTTATTTCATCTCCCATTACATCTTCAAGTGTCAGCCACGCTGCACTATGTGTCAAAATGTCCTTCCTTTTAAAGGCTGGTTGATATTCCACTGTGTGTGCACGCCACATTCTGTTTTCCACTTATCTATCCATGGATGCTTGGCATGGCTCCACCTTTTAGCTACTGTGAATAATGCTACTATGCACACAGATGCACAAACATCTCTTTGAGACCCTTCACTTTTTTAAAATTTACCCAGGAGTGGGCTGGCAAGAGCACAGTTAATTCTGTTCAATTTTTTGAGAGAGGCCATATCATTTTCCACGGCTCTGTACCATTTATATTCCCACAAGCAGTGTGCAAATGTGCTCAGCAACATGTGCCACCTTCAGTGTGGTTTACAACCGCCCCCCTGAGGTGTGTGAAGGGCTATCTCACTGGGGCTTGGACTTGCATCTCCCTTACAGTGGTGATGTTCCCTAAAGCTTGTTAATGGCAGACCTGAAGGAGAGCATGTGGAGAGGCTCCTTGGATCTGGGCATGAGACCTAAGGACAGTAGGGACGCAAGCTCCCCATTCAGTCCCTGCTTGTCCATCTGGAGAACTGCTACAGGTGAGTGGGAGAGCCCAGAACCAGGGAGGGCCCAAGAAAGAGGAAGCTAGGTAGGAAATGCAGCTGGTCTTGGTACGCTGTTAACTATGGACAGTGCTAAAGGCCATGAAGCAGGCCAGAGTCCCCCCCCTACCACCACCATGTGCTCCCAACCAGAGGCTCCAGACCAGGTCCCAGGCTTCTCTAAGCATCAGATGAGGACCTGGAAAGGCCCCAGTCCCGGCTCCTCCTCCTCCAGCAGCTCCAGCCCTCCCCCACACACACGTACACCCTCCTTGCTCTATCTGAAACTAACCTGTTTGTTGATCCGCTTACCTGTGAGTTGACCATCTCCTCTCTGAACTGTTAGCTCAGGAAAGGGGAGACTTTGTCTGTCTTTCGTGGCCCCTGGCAGGAGCTCAGTAAATATTTGTTGAACAAATAGACAGCCCGGCTTCAGTGTGTTTCCAGCTGGAGGTCCCAGTTCCCCTCCACACATCTCCTTAGACACAGGGCAGGCCCCACCTCCTCTCCGCTGCAGCTCTGTCCCTGCTCGCATCCCACTCAATTTTCCATCTCTCCCCTCGCTGGTGTCTCCCCGCCTTGGGCTACTCCACCAGGTGTGCAGACCAAGTTTTTTCTCTTTGTCTCCAATTTACCCCAAAACTTTTTCTTCGGTCTTTTCTCCTGATCAAGACTTTTCTCCCAAAGCCTAGTAAGTCTAAATTTTCTGCCTAATTTCCTAAGTTTTCAAAAACCTGTGGCTCCTGGACCCCTGTTTATGTCAATTTTTTTTTGGTTTGTTTGTTTTGTCTTTTTCCTTTTTATTGGTACCGGGGATCGAACTCACAACTGCCTGCTTGCAAGGCAGGCACTTATGCCGCTGAGCTATACCTCCCAGCCCTCATGTTTATGTCAATTTTAACAGCACACTAATTCGGTAATTTCTGGTGCTTTGGCCCCTCGGGAGGTTAAAACTCTAACAATGCATAAAGTCTTTGACCCAGAAATTCTATTTCTAAGTTTGTACTAAGAAATCATCCCAAATATATACAAAATTATATCTTCAAGAATATGCATTATGGCAGAACAATGGAAATAAACTAGTTGCTCAAAAATAAGCAGCTTCATGAATAATTTATGACACATGCAAAATAAATTACTTGGAATCCATTAGAGTCATGCAATAGTGCTCAACTTTTTAAAAAGCAGTAGTGTTTGTGACGATAAATTTTCAGATATTAAAACAAAGGTCAAAATAATAGTGGTTTAAACAAAATTGAAGCTCATGGAGTCCAGGGCTGATGAGGGGTTTATAAGGTCGGTACCCAGGTTTCTTCTTTCTTTTGTGATCCTCATCTACTTCATGGTCTAGAATGGCTGCTCCAGCTCCTGCCATCACAGCTGTAGGGGGAAGGAAGAAGACATGGAGGACATACATTCTTAAGGAACCTGAACCAGAATTTACCCACATCCCTTCTTCTGACATTAACCAAATATTAATCACACAGCCATGCCTCACTGTAAGGTAGACTAGAAAATGGATACTCTGCCCAGCGAAATCATAGTTTTAAAACTAAATGCTTGGGAAAAATGGATACGAGCGACACTGAGCAGTCTCTCCCACAGCAGATGGCAAAATAACATGTCCAGAATGGTGCATACCAAAAAGGGTAGCAGAGAAGATCTCTAGATGGTTATTTTTGTAATATTTTGTTTGTGCTTCTCTGTACACATTCTTTAACCAACATATATTACTTTTGAAGTTAAGACACGAATGTTACAGTTTTTCCTGTCTGATAATGATTTGAGTCTCTGAACTCCTGCCGCCTTTCCTGCCAGCCAGGGTCCTTGAGGAGCCACCCCAGCCCTAACTCACTTCACCCCAGAGTTAATCCTGCTGTCCTCGGGGCTGGAGCACTGCCTGACCCTCCCCTGGCATCTCCACCCACTTCTCCTGCTCCATCAATGTCAGTTCCCAATCCATCCTGTTTCCCTAGGAGAGGTTCTGAATTGGCCTGGGTGCTGGGCAATCCCGTCTCTGAACCTCTCCATCAACCCATGCAGGGCCTATCTCAGATGCTTGCTGCCCACAGACACAAGGTACTGGGACTGAACACGGGTGCTCTACCACTGAGCGGCACGTCCACCCCTTTCAAAATATCAACACAGCATCTCGCCAAGTTGACTAGGCTGCCCTTAAATTTGCAGTCCTCCTGCCTCAGCCTCCTGAGTAGCTGAGATTACAGACGTGTGTCACTGTGCCTGGCATTCTGTCACGTTTTTATGAAGCCTCTACAGTACCCCTACCCTGTCTCACGTAAGCCTTAACAAGATTGGAAGCATCCAGGAGGAGGTGGGAAGCTCATACTTCTGGGGTCTTCCTTTGACCTCCCTGGCCTAACCTGGGCAGGCGATCGCTCTTTCTGCACAGGAGGACAGAACTATAGTCAAGTCACTTCTGTTACATCTTTGTCAAAGAAGGTACTATTGAGCAACAGAGGACTTTATGTTTGTTGTTTTCGGTACCGGGGATCAAACTCACGACCTCATGCTTGCTAGGCAGGTGCTTATGCTGCTGAGCTATATCCCCAGCCCCATTTGTTTTTTAGGATGAGGTCTCACTATGTTGGTCTCAAAATCCTGGATTCAAATGATCTTCCTGCCTCAGTTTCCCCAGTAGCTGGGACTACTTCCCCAGTGCACTCAGCTAGAGCTAGAGGGCTTTAGTTCAAATACCTGTAGGTCACATCTCTTGGTCTGTGTTCTCGTCCCTTTTGCAGGGGGCAGGTACTGGGGATCAAACCAGGACTTCCCTACATCCTGGGCTTTTTTAAATTGTGAGACAGGCTCTCCTTAAGGCACTAAACTGCCCAAGCTGGGCTTGAATTTGTGGTTCTCCTGCAGCGGCCCTTTGAACCTGTTATACAGTAAAACATAATAGCGAATGTTGCCCAGACTGATTTTTTAAAAAATACCTTTTTCTTTTTACAAAAGCAACATTATTACACAAATAGTCAAAATTTCAGGAAAACACAAAAATAAAAGCAAAACACCTATAATTCCTCCCCCTTATCCTCTCATTTCATGAAATAAAGTAAAATAGAATAGAAATTCTCCCACTATCCCAGATCTAAACTGTGAGTTAACCATTTGGCATAAGTATAGCGGCACTCCTGTTTCTATATTTACACTAAATGTAATATCTCTCCATGTTCACATCTCTATCTGGCATCTATATATGGCATCGCCACAGTACATATCCATATTGATATGGATAGAGATACTATACTCTCACCAAAATAAAATGATGTGACATGTTCTGCCACTTTCTGCCATCTTGGTGATATCTGTATGTCACCAAGGCACCACTTCCTTACACACACACTTGCCTGCGTGCACACTTACCCATGTCAATATAACGTCTTTGTATGTTACAGAATTTATTTTCACAGGTCTTTATGTATCAATAATGGCTCCTCATTTTCATCATCACAAACAGTACTGTTATAAATATCTTTGCACATACGCCTTTGCATAGTCATCCTGGAAGGGAGACTGCTGGGTTACCTAAAGGTGTGTGTTTAGTTATAGGGAGATGCTCCCAAACCCACCTCTGGGAAGGCCGCTAACTGCACGGGAAGTGCGGTGTGTGTCCTAGTGCTGCTGTGGCCGGTCCACCTGCCTGGCCTCCTTTCCAGTCTGACCAAAGGTTGCTGCGCATGGCACAAAGGAGATCCCACCTCAAAGAACTTGCTGTGTGCCTGAGATGCACTCCTCGCTCCACAAAATCAGTTATCATGACTAGCATTCAAATATCTGCTACTGATAGGCAAAAATTATATTTTATTATTGTTTTAATTTGCAATTCTTGAATCACTAAATGATTATGGAAACATCCCAAGAGTGTGGCTGGCTTCCCAAGGATATTTGCATTCTCTACAGAGCCTCCTAGTGCAGGCCTGAGCATCGGGTGTAGCCTGACCCATATAGGACCTGAACTTGCCCCAGCTGTGCCTCCAAGGCCTTGCTCCCTGTACAAACCTCCCTACTTTACCCAGCAGCTGCCCTGTGGCTCTGCTCAGGATGGCGACACTCAGGGAGGCTGTTTTCCCAGGACTGGGGCCCTGAAGGAGGCTCTTGGGGGATCTGGCACTCAGGTTCGCCCTGCGCTGTGGCTGGGTTCTTTGGGAATGACTGCTTTCCAGTGCTCAGGGGCCACTGCCTGACTCAGCCACTGGGAGGGTCACCAAACAACAACAATTCAGGCCTCTGTTAAATTTGAAGCTCAGTAGCTGGGCATGGTGGCTGAGGCTAGAGGATTGTTGCACAGACCAGCCTGGGCTACAAAATGAGCTCAAGGCCAAACTGAACTGCATAACAAAGACCCTGTCTCAAAAAGACAAACAACAAAACAAAATAAGTTTGAAGTTTGAATATAAGTAGCAAATAACTTTTCAGCACAAATATGTCCCAAATAATATGTGGGATATACTTAAACAGTGATTTAAAAATTCTTTGTTATCTGCAGTTCGCATTTAACTGGGTACCCTTTATTTTACCTAGTAAATGTAGCCACCAGGTTCTTATTAATCTGCCACATTAGCTTCCCCGGGTGCGCTGCCAAAATCGTCTGCCAGTGCCTACAGGGTCATTCACTGTTCCCAGCATGACACCTGCTACAGCCACCTGAGGGGCACCCAGGGAACATGGCAAGACACCGACATTACCTGCTCCACATGGTTAGCAGGAGGGGTGTACACCTTCAACTCCATTTATGTTTGCAATATTTTAAAAGGTTGCCAAAAAAGAAGCGTAAAAACTACAGTGTGGGAAACATCCCCCACTCCAAGCCCAGTGCTACTGAGAGGTCACTTGGCCACGACAGGGAACACCCCACTGGCACTTCTGACTGGGTTTAGCTAGGTCTCCTCCTCTTTCCCTCACCACCTCACCTGTCACTGTTCTCCATCCCAGCTCATCAAAGTCCATCTCTGATAATTATGGCATCTCCCAAAAGAAAATAAATGTTGGTTATTAGAAATTCATTGAGTAGGGGCTGGGGGTTTAGCTCAACGGCATAAGCGCCTGCCTTGCAAGCAGGCAGTCGTGAGTTTGATCCCTGGTACCGATAAAAAGGAAAAAAGACCAAAAAAAGAAATTCATTGAGTGCTTCTGTTAGAATGCTTTTTTTTTTTTTTTGCCTTAGTTCCTTGTTATGATAAATTTTGTTTTATCTGACTGAAAATAATGCATGCTTGTGCCAGTATGTGCCTATGTGGGGATCTCTGTTCTTTCCTTCCTTTAATTTAATTTTATTTCATTAAGACAGGATCTTGCTGTGCAGTTCAGGTGGGCCTTGAACTCACTTTAGAGTGTTTTTTGGTACTGAGAATTGAACTCAAGACTTCATGCTTGCCAGGCAGGTGCCACGTCACTGAACTACACCCCTAGTCCTTGGGCTCACTAGAGACCTCAGGCTGGCCTCAAATTTGCACTGATCCTCCTGCCTCCAGCCTGCCAAGTGCTGGGATATAGGTGTGTCACTACGCCTGGCCTTTGTTCTTGATTTGGGGCTGAAGACAAAGGCCATCAAACCAGTTATCACATGTGACAAGACTCCTCCGTGCTTGAAGAAATCAAGTGACTTGCCAGGCTCCAGTGCATCAGAACGCCACCTTTGGGGTCCAGTCCCTACCACAATCTTGCTTGCTCTCACCCAGTTTTGATGAATAAGGACTCATGGTTCAAGCCAGAAAGACCGCAGATCAAAGGTGTTGAAGTCACCTTCCATCTAGCTTCTTGAAGAGAAAGCAAAGGAAGACAGAATTTTTTTTCACTCATTCATTTCCATAAATTTTGCATGATTTTGTTTATTTTCTGCTACTGGGGATTAAACCTAGGGAGTGCTGAGCTACTTCCCCAACCCCTGTTCCCCTTTCTAAATTTTGAGCCAGGGTCTCATTAAATTCTCCAGCCTGACCTGGAATTTTCAATCCTGGCGCCTCAGCCTCCCAACAGCTGAAATTACAGGAAACAACACCCAGCCCCTGCTCATCCCATACCTTCTAGTTAGTGTCTGTTATGGCCTGCACGGTGCTAAGTGCTCAGTGACAAATTAAATGTGAATTATTTTTCCTGGGAGAAATAAAAGGCATAATGCTGGAGATTTTGTCTGGTCAGCTCTGAAACCAAACAAGTGGTGGGAAGGAAGCAGATGGAAAAGGAAGAGGCTGGGAATGGTCCCTTCCCAAGGGAAGCATGGGCCACAGCCACTGCCGCCTGGCAGACCCGCAGTGACTGACAGTTCAGAAATACATGCTATCGAATTCTATATAAAACCTTGAGCGACACGGTATTTCCATATATAAGCACTGCATGCGCTCCGGCCCAGAAGGCTCTGGTAGCCTGTCACACGCCACGGAATGAAAGGCTGCATTTTTGTTTACTTTGGCAAAGCTAAATTCACATCTAAACCGTCACCGCAGGTCGGGCTTGCAGACAGCCGGCCCTGCAAAAGCCGGGAACAGGGCAAACATAAAAGTGGGTCAGAGGTCGGCGTGGAGTGTCTGGTGGCTGTTCCCTGACTTGCCACCATGCTGTCCTCCAGATGCACAGTCTGTCACAGAACTAACTGACCTTCTATTCTTAGAGGATAAGCACCAACTGCAAAATATTTACCAGCCTTGACACAAAATCGGTTGCCACCTCAGGGAGTTGAATTCAGTTAGATGATCTCTTATCTCTGGTAACTGGTAATCACTGGCAGCACCCTTGGCCCGGTCTCCAGATAAAGGAATCGCAGGGAGAGCGAGCCCGGTGTTTGGTACCTACACGTTGGCAGAAGACTGCCCTGAGGTGCTCACCCACTGAGCGGCAGAGGACGCGCCGGCTCTTTCTGAACAATTTTTCTCCACTAAGGATCCTTCCCACTTCATCTGCACTCCGAATCCTCCGAGGCCAGCAGGAGACCACTCAGCTCTGACAACTTTCTCTGCCACTGACATTATCTCCTAATTATCTTCTCAGCAGTCATGGCCCAGTACCAGTCTTCAACTTGTGCAAAATGATCATAAAATCCACTCTGATTGGGAGGAAAGCAAACCCCGCAGTTCTTGGAGCTCCTTAGAGCTGTTACCATTTTTCCAAAAGGCCTGAATAATACTCACAATAGTCAGAAGGGAAAACAAACACGTATTATCTAAGTGACCATTACCCGGGAATGACAGCTCATGTTTTCTTCAGGCAGATGAATATTTTTACATAACAGGGCAAGGCTTGTTCTCATCAGAGCATCCCACAACCAGAACTGTTAAGTTAATGATTTGAAACAGAACCCAAAGGATGTCAGGCTTCTGTTTGTTTCATGATGTACATACACCCTAGGAAGTGGGATACACTGTAGTCTTCAAAAAATATGATCATTTAAAAACAATTACTTTCTCAACAGCCTTGTGATGTGCAACCAGTCCATGACGTGGTTTGCTAGAGAAGAGGCTGGTTTAGGCTGAAGATCAGTTAAAAAGTCAGTCAATGCTGGGGCTGGGGATTTAGTTCAGTGGCATAACCACCTGCTTTACAAGCAGGTAGTCGTGAATTTGATCCCTGGTACCGATAAAAACGAAAAAGACAAAAAAAAAAAAAAGTCAATCAATGGGCCTGTCACTACCACTGTGTCCTTAGCAAAGGAAGGCTGGAAGTCATTTCCAGAGCTGCTCCCAAGCCTCAAGCCCTTCCCTGGTCTCCAGTCACCCATCTCTCTCACCTCTCTTCTTTCTCCTCCCCCTGATCTCTCACTCTCTCTCTCCCTCTTCCTCTCTCTGGGTCTCTCTCCTCTTTCTTTTTCAATCATACTCAGAGTAATACTACTGTGCTGCATCCCAGGCTCATTTTTAAATTTTGAGACAGGGTCTTTCTGATTGCCCAGGTCAGCCTGGAACTCGCATTCCTCCTGTGGTAGTCTCTAGGAACCTAGGATTGCAGGCATGCAGCACCGTGCGCCGTCTTAGTGATGTAAGTTTTCTCTACCACCAGCCAGTGGGCCAGACGAATACAGCCTGGCACCAGGAAGACCTGTTTAACTTTCCTTGGTTTTGCAGATGTAGAATCCTGGCTGGCCGGTGTTGAAGATATAAGGCGGAAATCAATAAAAGGCCAGGAGTGGACTGATGCTCCCATGTGAACAGAGACCACCCAAAGTGTTCTTAGACCCTGCGCTCCTGCCTGGAAGGCTCTGATCGCTGTCACACACTACAGAGTGAAGGGCTGTGTTTTTTTAGACCTGGCAGCTGGGTGAAGAGCCCACACAGAGAGTGGTCAGTCCTGTCCTCCCAGCCCCTCACTTCTCTGGGCCTCTCTGGAAATGGTCTGTGTGTCTACCACAGCAGCCCTTAAGTTTCTGAGCTCCTGGACAGCAGCCTTTAGCCCTCCAGACTGGAGGAGTGTGTGGGTTGACTCTAAATGGATGTCAAGGTTGGAGCTCTGGTCCTGGCTGATTATGAACCTGCTGTACAGCTGTTGAAAAACCACCTTATTCTTTAGGGCCATTTTCTTTCATTTGCAGAAACAAAGTTATTAGAGCAACCTCCCAAGCCATCAGCTTACTGGTCATTAAACCTCACAATTGCTCAGGTGAATGGTGCTGTCTAAATTATAAAATACCATTAAAGATTCTATTACTGACCTGATGAGAGGAAACGCTGGAACAGCGGGGATTGTGTTGTAAGAGTCGAGCTGATGTGCTTGCTTCCCTCCCAGAAAGACCAGCCGGAGCCTGCCTCTCTTCCCTACCTGCCTCTTCCCAGCCCCACACGGTGCCAGCCAGGCCAGTTCATAGACTGCGGTGGTTAGAAACTGATGCTATCACTCCCAGGAAACTGGAACACATGGGCCGTCAGCTGGGCTGCCAGCTGTCATCTGTAACTTCAGGCCTCCACTATTTTTTGTAAATAATTGGGGAACAAACGCCTCCCCAGTGCTGATCTCACCTCATCCCCTTCCTCTCATCAATTCAACAAAGATTTGTTGGCCACTTACTAAGCATCAGACAGTGGGAGGGAGAAAATTTAATCCCAGTGAAGAATATTTATCATCACCCAGGATGTGCAAGGCTCAAGGTGGCCCTGAGCGTGCCAGAATCAATGACCCAAATGCTGCCTCTGAGATCCTGATGGGAGACACAGGCCTTCCTCTTGGGGAATGTATAGCTGCAGAGTCTGACGGAGGCCCAGCCAAGCAATAGAGACAACAGAGGGTTCAGAGAGCCCTCCCGGATCTTGGTGCACTCCAGGAAGTTCATATTTGTAACACCAAAAGGAAGCTTTTCTAGTGAGCTAATTCCAGTCTACCATTTCCAGTGCAACCCATGGTGAGAATAAAGACACTAAGGATATCTGTAGCTGTGGTTAACCGGAACAAAGACCTCAACCAGGGCGGAACTCAGGTTTATTAATTCTCAGCGAGGGGAGTGGCTCCAGGATGAGTGACGTGAGAGAGGCGGGAAGTGCATGAGTCCTGCGAGCCGAGCCGGGCTGGGCAGTCGGCCTGAAATCCCCTCTGCAGTGCACAGAGAGAAGGATGTGCAGAGGAGCAATCTGCATGACACGGTCTGAGGACTGTCCAGTGTTTTGGGGTCAGTGCTTCCCCTCCGATGTGTAATCCTTAGTGCCCTGGGAAGTCACAGCCTCTTGTCTTGAACAGCATGGAGCGTGACTTTTCCTCCCGCCTGGCTCACACATGCTTTTGGGGAGCCATGGGGCTGCGGTAACACTGACCTGTCACCTTGCTTCAAAGACTGCACATCCGCACCTGGCTAGACCAAGTTGCATTGCTTAAAGCCAACTGAAGGGATAAGAAAAAGTCCCAGCCAGCTCTGTGCATATCGATACATGGAAATAGGGCCAGGTTTAGCCAAAATGGAGATAATTGTTCTACTTTCAAGGACAGTCGTCCAGGTGGGCCTCCACAAGAGGGAGCCCTTCCAAAGGCAGGGACCCCCAGAAGGACGGAGCCTGCAGCATCTGCGCTGGCCTGAGAAAGACACACAGGGAAAGATGGTGGTGTGGCAAGATGCTGCAGAAGTCACAGCACCAGCCAAGCACAGGACAGCTTCAGGGTGATAAGGAAGAGTCACTTCCATGCTTCCTAGTTGGATGGAACTCCTGTAACAAAAGACAGATTAACAAGAGAAAAACAAACAGAAGCTTATGAACAGGTATATTTCACATACACAGAAGACACTGGGGGAATAAGCTGTTCCCAAAGAGGTGCCTTCGAATGCCAGTGTATGCAGCATCTTCAATAGAGATCAGTTAATTTTTAGAGAATCCACAAAACAAAGGAAAGGGACAATAAGTCTCTACAGGCAGCAGCAATTTGGGAAAGGTAATAAATGACGGATAAAGGTGAGTTGGTAAGACTTGTTCATGTGGATCCCTCAGATACCATCTCTAGGAAAATGACAGTCAAAAGCATCTTCCGTAGCTGGACTTTGTTCTCTCTGGCAAAGAAGTGGGCAGGATGCTTTCATCTCTGCAAATCCATGTTCTGTTTTTAGGCAAATAGAGGGAGGGCAGAGAGCTCTCCTGCATCCACTGTCTTTAACTGTCTTCAGCTCAAAGATCTTTCCTTGAATGTGGGGGGAGGCATAATCTGGTCTCCCACAGAGGAAAGCCGACAGGGAAGGTGGAGAAAAGCATGGAGAAATGGGTGTGTCTCCATGTTGGGCCCCCAGAGGAAGCCACCCTAAAAATTCTGTTCCTGACTGTACCCTAGCAAGCAGTGAGTGACTGGGAGTTTGGGGGTGGGGAGGCCATCACTGATCATCCTTGCCTCCTGTTGTTAAAGCCCTCCCTGCTCCTGCCTTCCTGAGGCCTTCTGTCTTGCAAGAAGCTACAGGAAGGGGAGGCCTGGCTCAGCCCTCCTGAGGGAGCACTCAGGGGAAGCAGGGCTGAGAGTTGACAGGTCTGAGTCAGTCCTGACTGTGACCAGTGTGCTGGCCACTGAGACACCAGGCATCCTCCTCTGCTCAAGTGCAGATGGCCTCCAGCAATTATGATAATTAAAATGCCCCCTCACATCTCCACCCACCCAGTGCCTTGGATAATGAGATAACGAGCGCACATGTCTGTCTCTCCTGGGGACTGTCCTCACCTTGACAGCAGATATTATTCTCGTGTCCAGCACGCCTTCTCCTCAAGTCTGGCAGGATGCCTCGCACCTTTCCAGCACAAGTACACATCTGTTGAGTGCACACAGAAAACAATACTCTTTTTATTTCCCTACTTTATAAGTGAGCTGGTTATTTTCTAAGTCCATAGCTAAAGAGGACAGTAGCAATTCCAATGCCAATGCAGCCTCTTCCTGGTTCTTCCATTTAGTCACGTTCATTTTTACTTAATCCTTGAGCATTACAAAATCTAGCAAACAGCGCTCAACTCTGCAACTGCTCTCATTCACTAATGCAAAACCGGCAGACTCCCAAAGAGGATTTAAAGATGTTTATCCAAGCTCAGACTTGCCAATGCCGAACAAATACATAAATAGATGAGTCGGAAGCTGGATCCCAACACTGACAGATCTTGGCATCTGCAGCTCTGGCAGAACCATTTTCAAAACCACCACCTTCTTTCTGGCCCGGGGTCCAAGCTTTGCCTTGCAGCCAGGTGGATGCACAGAAATAAATCAAGACTGGCTGCTCAAGGCTCAGTCAAAGCCTACACAGTCTTTGGGGCTCCAGAAAACACATGGCCCAGGAATAGCTCACGGTTGGCATGGACGTGGGAGAATGTAACATATTTCTATTTCCAATATGAAATTTATGAGGACCAGAATTTGCCTGCGGTGGGACTCCTGGAGGACTGAGTCAGATCTCTAAATCCTCCTCACAAGATGGCCCAGGACGACTGCGGAGAAAGGGCCGGACAGGCAGCAAAGATAGCAAAGGCAACACTGGCCTTGGAGGCGAGCCCTGGCTCCTGGTCCTGGCTCTGCCATGCCAGCGTGTGATGCCCCTTTACCTGCCCTAAGGAGCAATACCGCCTGCCTGGCTAACTGTGTGGCAGTTAGCTTCATTAAAGGACAGAGATGCATGGCTTAAACTATCAACTGCTTGAGCAAACAGACCCTCAAACTGTGGTGATGCCAGGGATGGAGGGCTGTGTGCCCTCCCTGAGCGTCAGGCAATTAGGAGCTGGGCAGCAGGGTGACCTGCAAGGAGAAGACCTGGGGGTGAGTTTACCCCTCCTGCTCAAAGACTATTACTCCCACAGGAGAGCTAGAAAGCGGTTTTTTGTCCTATCAATATGATGAGGTCCTAAAGATAACATGTTTAAAATTATTTTTCTTTAAATAATAAATCACCAATAATAACAAAGGTCGGTGAGGCTGCATTACTGGTGGGAACATAAACTAGTACAATCACTAGGGAAATCAGTGTGGAGGTTCCTAAAAATGCTAAAACTAAAAATTCTATTTGATCCAGCTCTTCCCAAAAGAGTTAAAGACGTCATATTATAGTAATGCATGCATACCCATGTTTACAGTAGAACAACTCATAATAGCTAAATCTTGGCAGTAGCCTATATATCTATCAACAGATGAACAGATAAATAAGGATAAATTTCAGTCATCTGTAGAAAAAAAGATGCATCATGAGACCATTATGTTAAGTGAAAAAACCCAGAAACTGAAGCTTATATTGCATAGTTTCCCTTATATGAGAACCCAAAGCATAAATAATTAAGAGGAAAAATATATAAATAATAGGAAACAGGGGATAGGTATTTTGCAAACAGGAAGGGAACCAAAGATGGAGGGGGGCCAGGTATGGGAAGGGGATGAAAACAGAATTAATATGTATTATGTTCATGTACCAACTGCCAAGGTAATTGTAAGCATATACTATGAACATGTACTAGTAAAAACTAAAATTTAAGGGAAATACCAAGGTGGTTTATATTCACTGCAGAAAGACAAGACAGTACAACCAAAAATACTTAAAATACTCACCGTCAGCTTGAGCTGCCACAGCAAACCACCACAGACAGATATGGTGGCTTACACACCAGCACTTTGGTTCTCCCAATTCCGATGGTGGTGAAGTCCATGAGCAAGGGGCCAGCCTGGTAGGGCCTGGCGGGGCCTCCTACTGGCTTCCAGAGAGCCGCCCCTCGCTGTGTCTTCATGTGGCTTCTCTCAGTTCATGACACGAAAGACAGGTGCCACTCCCTTCCTTTTCTTATAAGGCTGCAGTCCTATTGGACTAGGATCCTTATGACCTCACTTAACTGCCTCTGAAGAACCCTGTCTGCAAATATACTCACATTCAACATAAACTTAGGGGGATGCAGTTCAGCCCACAAAACCCGAACACAGAGAAAGCCACTCCTTATACACTGGTATATCTTCTTTCATTCTCAGGAGCACATAGATTTTTTGAAACATGAGTTCATACCACACCAATTACTTTGTAACCTGCTTTTATTCACTTGACAATATATACTTGGCGTCTTTCCACATCATCACATTGACTTTTTTTTTTTTGTACCAGGGATCAAACTCATGACTGCACGCTTGCAAGGCAGGCACTTATGCGGCTGAGCCCTATCACATTGACTTTTCCAACATTTCATAACTTTGGAAGTTCTTCGGCAGGACAGGACAATACCACTCTTCCTTATAGAACCTAGCATTAACTTCATAGTTTGCTGTCAGTTTTTCTCATTCCTGGGAATGCTGAGATGAACATTCCTATTTCCTGAACACAAATTCCTGGAAATGAAATATTACGTATCAAAGTACACATATACGTCTAAAACTTCTTCTTTTTTTTTTTTATCAGTACCAGGGATTGAATTCACGACTGCCTGCTTGCACGGCAGGCGCTTATGCCGCTGAGCTAAATCCCCAGCCCCCGACTAAAACTTCTGATGAGTACTGTCAGAATACTTACATCCATTTACATGACCACTAGCAACAAATGCAAAGGTGACCTCACTTTAAAACAAACAAATAAATAAATTTGTATCTACAGAAAAGTTGCAACGACTGAACAGAGAATTTGAGTACATTCATCACCCAGTTCATTCCTATGTTGATATAACCCAACCACCATGCATTTGTCAAAATGGGAAATTAACATTGGCATATCACTATTAACTAACCCCCAGACTTGTTGGCATTTCACTAGTTTTTTTTTCATGAAGGTCTTTTTACTGATTCAGAATCTAATCTAGGACACCACACAGTATTTTGTGTGGCACCACTTTTAAAATCTTATTTGTTATCAACCATTGGGAAGTCCCTGGTGTTTTGAATGCTTGCTGTCTGCAATGCTAACCATTGTTTGGGGGTTTGACTTATTGCAGCCTGTATTTGTTCCATCAGCAAAGTTTACTGTCCTAGGAGACAGGAAGGTGATTTAGAGAAATTGACTTGTGGTTTGCCTCTCCAAACTTTGTAAAGTGTCAAGCAGAAAGCTCTTTAAATGTGAAAGGATACATGTGTATTCCAATTGGATCTGTCATGCAAATGTCACACAGGGAACATTTATAAACAACAGCAGGACAATTGGATTTTGGTCTATATTTGGAAAATTTGGTCTTTCATTACAAAGCAAGCTGATGTTATCTTGTTCAGTTCCTTCTTTTGCTCATCTCCTGTAATCATTAAATTAGAGTCATATTTCCAAAGCTGTAGAGGAAAAATGGATTAGGAATAAAATCTCTTAAGCTCTTTTAGAAAAGCTCTGGATTCCCTTATGAATGGTGGATGCGGAGCTACAGAATGATCTATTCTGAGCCGTCCTAGGTGAATGATTTGCTTCATTTCCCCTGGCTCTACGATGTTTTCTCCGTCCGGTGGAACCTGGAGGGTGCCTTTAATACTCTGTTCCGGGATGCATCCCTGATTGCTCCATGCATGACCCTATCCTCGGGGGCGGACTGAATGAAGGGAGGAGAAATCATGAAACACATGCATGATCTAAAGGAAAAAAATAAAATAAAAGCCAGGAAGAAAGACTTGCTGGGTTGTTTATAAACCTCCTCTGAATAAGGCCGTTTTGATCCAGCAGAGCGGCTCCTCGCCTTCCTCAGAACTGTCAGATTGGAAGTCTTTGTTCTTTCCTTAGCAAGGCCTATTTTATTTCTCTTAGGTGATTGAAACTTAGCAAATACTTGGGGAAGCTGAGTTAGCTTGCAAACTCCAAATCTGTCTCAAGCTATGACTGATTCACCTAAATTTTCATTTTCCCTAGGAGTCAATTTGGACTGTTCACCAAGGTTCTTTGGGGGACATCTATTGGTCCTTTCGAGTGGTCCAGCTTGGGCCTCACATTTTCCCCTGAATGTGGGGGACGTGCTAGGGGCCAAGCTCACAAATTCTCCAGGGAATCTTTGGGAAAGACTGTTCTGGTTGCTAGGACGGATTTCCTCCCAGGTAGCTCTGCCAGGTTGTAGTTCTGCAGGCCAGATTTGCATTCCAAATACTGGGCCCATTTGCCTCATTATGCACTGGGTCTTTATTAAGAATGAGGGGGAAACAGGAGCAGAAGAGCATCTCTGAGATGACGGCTTCCCGCAGGCGAGCTGTGCCCTCCTCTGGAACCCCCACACACTTCCATCTCTGCTGTGACCAGGAGACAAGTCTCTAAGAGCTGCCTGAGGATGCAGGGCAAACTGAATCACCTGGATGGTACTCATAACTCAAAGCTAATTAGCAGGACCTCAGACTCTGCTTCCAGCACCTCCCGGCTTGCAACAATAACCTTAAAATTGCCTTATTTACAATCAGCGTGGGAACCAAAGATTGAAACTTATGAGAGAAGGTGACAATAGAGACAGGCCAAGTGTCTCCCTGCAGCCCCTGAGAGAGCCTCCTCCCCAGTCTCCACATAAATCAAGAGACTGGATATCTATCTAGCACATGCATGTTTCTTTTCCCCAACACTTCGTATCTCTTACTTTTGATTAATTTAATCAACGAGGATGGGTTTTTAGTGCCAAAGGCTCTTATTATTAAAATTTGGCCTCTAATTTCCTCTAATGTAGATACAGAATAATCTAGGGGGATCTCTTCATTGATAACAAAAATAGCATCTGAAATTGGCTAAAGAACCATTCATGGGTTCAATTCAGATGAAGTCAAGTCAAGCCCATGCCTAAGCAAATGGTGCTAAATGCTGGAAATGCTTCACAGCAGGGAACTCAGAGGCTACCTCTGCCACTTTCCCCTAGCAGACTTGGGGGGAGGGAGCTTCTCTCCTGTGCTCTTAGCCTGCAGTTCCTGCCTCTAGTCTGCTTCTCCTCATAACCTAAAACTCTGGCGCCTCCTTCCATCACATGCTGGGCATCAGGGGAGGGGACCATGCTTGAGAGCAGATGGGCTGGGACAGAGGAGGACACTGCACAACCATCTCCGTGAAAACTGAGTCCAGCTCTGTCTGTGCAGCCCGAGTCACACTGACAAGCCCAGTGTTGTCAGTAACCTGGGCAACTCAAGGCCAGCCAGGTCACCTCCTTGTGCCTCATTCCTTGTCAGTAAACAGGGGTAAGGTGCAAGAATTAAATGACTTGATACTCAAGGAAAACATTTAAAATAGTACTTGGCATGGGACAAATGATCATTACAGCCAAAAAAAAAAAAAAAAGACCAGGAAGAATTTCATTTATTTCTTACATAAAAAAAAAAAAAAAAAAGGTCTAGCAATAAGCAGTCTGGACCTGAAAATGGTACCATCATAATATCATTAAACCCAGCTTCCTATTCACAAGATTATTAAACTCAGGTTCCTATTACTTCTTTGAGGATACCTTATAACACAATAATGCTGGGGCACCAATCACTGCACCCCATCTCAGTCTGGAAGAAGAAGGAAAACCAGGCAAAAGAGAAGTTATTTCTGCTGCGTAGCTGTCTCCCACACTCCCATGGGTACCGGTAATTAAACCCAGTGGCCCCCACTAGGAGGTTTTTCCTCCCTGGCCAGGCCTTTTTTTTTTTTTTTTAAATAGGGTCTCTGTGTTGCTGAGGCAAGACATGAGCTTGTAATTCTCCTGCCTCAGCCTCCCCCAGAGCTACTCCCTAACTGAGTAAACGCCCTTTGTCTGGCCTTCCTGGAATTCTGATATAATAATCCTGCTTGTATTTATCAGTCAGAATTTGGATACACTTCTGGTTATATAGTATCTCATTGACCAAAAATGGCTGACATGACCATGATTTGCTACAAGGTTAACTGGGAAACGTGCTGACTATTCCAAGTAATAATGTGCTCAGCCAAAAACTACTACACAAGAAAAGAAGCAAGTCACGGTGGTGTGCACCTGTGATCTCAACACTTTGGAAGGCCGGGGCAGGAGGATTGCAAGTTCGGGTTTCACCTAGACAACCTGAGAACCTGTATCAAATGTAAGAGCACCCATGGGTTTGATCCCTCATATGAACGGATGGATGGATGGATGGATGGATGGATGGATGGATGGACACCCAGCTCCTCACAACCCCTCCCGCAGGGAACTTTCCATCTGCTCCCTTTCTCTCCTCATGCCCCTAACTGGCCTGCAGCATTTGGCTCTGATCTAGGCTCTGTCTCACCTGTTTTCTCCCATCTTCCCCTCTTCCTCACTCTCAGACACAACACTCCTCCCTAGGAGCTCAGGATCCACCCAGCACCTGAGGAGCAACTCAGCCCTGGGCACTGCCCTGCTCTGACCAGATGCCCAGGGCCCTGCTGCAGCTGGAGAGAATCTTCCTCGACCCAAAAAGAACTCAGTCCTATCAAAGCACTGTTCTAAATATAAGACCAGCTCAAACTGGTGCATTAAGCAAATAGGAGAATTGGTCCTGCTCCTTTCCCATTTGCCTCTGCAGAACCAGTGGAGAGACAGGTGATGAACATAAGCCAGCGAAGTCTCTGGAAACTGGAAAACAGATTGAGCGGTGACAAGTGATTTAGGCAACTCCAAGGAAGCCAAATGTAAAGCCAGCAGGTGGGGAAAATCAGCAGCCCTCCCTGCCTTCCACAGAGCACCCCCAAGGAGCAGGTATTGGCAGAGGCACAGCAGAGGGCCAGTGGAAAGGCTGCTTCAGGAGCTGCTTGACCTCTGCCCTCCTCTCCTGGGTGACAACCTCTCCTCTACCCCTATGGAACGCTAGATGTTTATTGCCTGGCAAGAAGAGTGGCCTCTGCCCTCAAGGCCAGCAGATGCTCAGGTGGTGAATGCTATCATCCATACACTCCTTCCCCTCTGCCCTCCAGGCGTGCACCCTCCAGGTAAGAAACAAGAAGCATCTACTCGGGGGACAGACACCAATATAAACTGACAGAGAACATATTGGGCGAAGAAAATTTAAAACCAAAAAAGAAGATGGGGAATGAAATACAAAGGATGAGAGAGAACAATGGCCCCACCAGCAATCAAGCCCAGCCTGGGAACCAGCACTGTGCACGGGCCGCTGCTGGACTGGGAATGGCCAGACCCCAGCCCCTTCCTGTGCAGGCTGGCAAGCAAGAAGCACCAACCCCCACCCCACCCCCCCACCCCCTGTAAGCGACCGGTTTATCTGGAGAAACGCAGGCTGTGATGATAGCCATGGCGGTGAAATGCAATTGGATGGCTCTGGTGCTTTGCTGTTTCACTGACAGTGCAAGTCTAGGGCCACTGGTCTGATCATAGGTTCAGAGGACAGCAGTACGCAGTGTGGCATCTAGGGGGATCTCCTTCTGAGGGTTGTAGTCATCGTTGGTTCCCTATGGTCTTGTTTTGAGGTCCTGTATCATTTCCACTGTTTTGTTGGGTTGGATTTTATTCTCTTGTTTTATGTTAAATCCGATGGCAGGAGCAGCTATTTCAAAGATGGCAAGATATATTATGTCGCAATTTTGGATTTACCATTGGCTTGTTTGCAATCCTTTAGTGCATTCATTGTTTTACTTTTATTGTTTCTATTTTTTGTTTTTAAAAAAATTTTACTTTTTAAATATTATTTTATTCTTTAAAATATGGAATGCTTCACGAATTTGCATGGCATCCTTGCACAGGGGCTACGCTAATCATCTCTGTATCGTTCCAATTTTAGTATATGTTCTACTAAAGTGAGCACATATTGTTTCTATTCTATCCTGGTCTGTTTGATTTTTACTATGTCCGAAGTTATCTGCAGCTATTTTGAAGACATCAAAAGGCATTATTGTAACTCTTGTTGATTTCATAATGTTCTGAAGTCCTGTATCTCTTAACACTAGTTTGTTTTAATTGGTCTTATTCTGTTTTATCCTCTTTAAAAAAAAAATACAAAGGATAAGAGCACAAAGCAGACAAGGTCAGGAGGTCAGACCCCTGGGAAGGCTGAAATTCTAATCCTGGAGAATCCATGTTCTGACCGCAGGTTCACAGAGGAGATACGGGCTGAAGATCAGACTGCGTGCTGCAAACCCAGCAGGCAGAATTCAGAGCAGGAGGACACAGTCAAAACTGGCAAGCGAGGGCTGGAAGGTAGATGAACGGCAGAAAGCATGCTTAGTGCAAGTGCGAGGCCCTGCATTTAACTCCTAGCGCTAGTTAACAAGCAAGCAAAACAAAAACACACTGGTGGATGGGCAAGGTCAGGCACATTCGGGAAGCATGAAAAATCGCTGTTCCACAAGATCATACATACACTGGGGCACTATTTGTTACTATGGTCTACTTCACCCTGTAGAATGAAACTGTTTTTCCACTTTTAGTGGCCCAAACTCACCCTGCAGAACTTGTTTCTTCTACAACCTTTAATAAAACTTTGCTACCATTAAAAAAATAAAATGTAGGGGCTGGGGATTTAGCTCAGCGGCATAAGCGCCTGCCTTGCAAGCAGGTGGTCATGAGTTTGATCCCTGGTACCGATAAAAACAAAAAAAAAAAAACCAAAATAAATAAATAAATAAAATAAAATAAAATAAAATAAAATGTAGCTGAGTGTGATGGTACACACCTGTGATCCCAGCCCTCGGGAGGCTGAGACAGGAGGATCACCACTAGTGTCAGCCAGCCCAGGCTATACAGTGATTTCCAGGACAGCTGAACTATCTAATGAGACCTTGTTTCAATCAGTCAATCAATCAATCAGTTATAAGAAAGGTATAAGCCTACTGTTAGGGAACTCATTCAAACAAACTAAAATCCAGCCACACAATGATGTACTGGGTAACCATTAAGAGCTGTGAGGTAAACCACTGCCACATAGGTTGGACAGCATGTAACAGTTCTGCAGAAGAACAGAACGAGTGAATGGATACGTACTCACTGCGGGGAATCCGTGAGATGGGCTTCTGTGCTCAGGGGCGACATAGGCCCAGAGGCATTTACAAGCTGAAGAGCTGATTAGTCCAAGAAGCTGGAGGGCTAAGAACGACCAGCGACCACTGGTGCAGTCACAGTCCCAAGGCTGAAGCCCTAGAAGGTTCCCGAGGCCTCACTGGTGTGAATCTGCATTCAAAGGCTGGAGCGTGTAGACTATGATTTTCACGGGCAATGACAGCAGCAGAAAACCAAAACGAAATGAAAAAGTGACGCACCTTTTGGAGAAGAGCTGGGCTCCCACACTGGCGAGTTTCCTCCACGCACGTTGTGCTTCTGCAAGTCATCTCCGGACACAGCCCGAGACACACCCGGGACGGCAGGGCGCCTTAGCAATTTCCTGGGCTGCCTCCGGTGGTGCCCACAGCCAAGGCTTCCTATCACAGACAGCTTCCAGGGTTACTGCCCGGAAGAAAAGAACGGTGCAGTAGATGCCTCCTCTCCAAGGCAGATAAACCCTGGTAAGTGAAACCACGGCAGATGAGAAGGATTATTCTGGAGTGGTGTAGGGGAACGCCATGAGAGCAGAACTGGAAACCTAAATATACATACATATATTGTTTCAACTTTGGCATTGTGATTTAGATTTTCAAAACACTAAATTTCTATTCTCCAGAGAGCAGATCTGGAACTTCTAGGCTTTCATGATCATATAAGCCAATTCCTATGGCCTTGAACTCTTAGCAATCCTCCTGTCTCAGCCTCCTGAGTGCTGAGATTACAGGCATGCAGCACGATATTTTCCTTTTTAATCTTTTAAAATTTTTGCCTTTCATGCTTGGATCTGGAATTTACTTGTTGTGTGTGGTACTTTTAAAATATATTTTTGCAGAAAAACAATTTTCCTCCTATGATTCATGAAGCACTTACCTTTCCCCACTGACTTGGGAGACCGTCCCTACCCTAGACCACAGCTCATGACATCTGAAACGTTGTTTATGGGCTTTCTCTTCTGATCTTCTTGTTTACACTGTATCAATCCTCTCCATTTTAATTACTCTAGACTCACAGTGCCTCCACTTCTGGCACTTACTCTTCTTTTCCAGAATTGGACTTGGTTTGTCGTAGCTGCGCCTCTTCCTTATAAATTTAAGAAGTGTGGGGCTGGGGATTCAGCTCAGCGACTCAAGCAAGCACTTGCCTGGTAAGTGTGAGTTCTGAGTTTGCTCCCCAGTCAAAAGGCTGCAAAATCTACTGGGGATTTTTGTTAAGGTCACCTTGAATTGCTAGATCAATTTGGGCAGAATGACCATTTTGAAAAGACTGAGTGTTCCCTTCTACAAACATATTCGGTTCCTCTTTTTGCTTTTGAATATGTATTTCTAGGGTTTTGTTTGTTTCATTTTGTTTCTGTAGTGCTGGCATACAGCTTGAGGCCATACAGAATAGGAGACTGCTTTACTGAGCATAGCTCGCTCTTAAATTTTTTAATTCTCTTTTTTTTTGTTTGTTTATATGCTATTACTTATATAAAGAAATGTTGGTTTCTTTGTGGATAATTTTTCTTCTCTCCTTTTGTGTATGTGTGTGTGTGTGTAATGCTGTAGACTGAACCCAAAGCATCACATGTTCGGCAAGCACTTTAACACAGAGCTCCAGCCCCAGCCACCATTATTTCTTTCATGTTGCACTTCAGTCTAGGAACCTTGAGCTGGCACAGCAGCACACGCCTAACCCCAGCACTCGGGAAGCTGAGGGAAGAGGATCGCCAAGAATTTGAGGCCAGGCCATGCTACAAAGTGAGCTCAAGGCCAGCCTGAACCACATAGTGAAACCCTGCCTCAAAAAAAGACAAAAAAAAAAAAAAAAAAATCGAGGAACCTGACAAACATTAGCTCTACTACTCTCCTGGTTTCTTGAGTTTTCTTCTATATTGTGTGACTAGAAACACTAGCAGGCTGCTGTACACTGATCAGAATCACTGGCGTCCTTGTGATGTCTGACTTTACTGGAAATGTTTCAGAGTTTCACAACTGAGAACGATGCTCACTGCAAGCCTTTGGTAGATATCCTTCATCAAGTTAAGAAGGCCTTGGAGCCCAGTGCAGTGGTAACTGAATTAATCACTGGGATTCAGGAAGTTGAGATAGGAGGCTCACAAGCTCAAGCCCAGCCTGGACAATATAGTGAGACCCTGTCTCAAAGTAAAAAATTTTATCCAGACATGGTGGCACATGTCCGTAATCCCAGCACTCGGAAGGCTGAGGCAGGAGGATTTTTGCAGCCTGGGCTCCATAGTGAGTAAAAGGCCAAACTGAACTACACAGTGAGACCCTGTGTCAAAAGCAAACAAATATTTTAAAAAGGAATGGAGATCCTGTCCCAGCTCTAGGGTGCTTGCCTAGCATTTGCAGGGCCCTAGATTCATTCTCAATTCAGGGGGGGAAAAGCCTTTGAATTCTAGCTTGCCAAGAAATTTTTTTTATCATGAATGGGTATTGAATCTTGCTAAATGACTTTTCTGGAACTATTTAAATCATATGGTGTTTTTCCTTCAATCTGTTAATGTACTGAATTAATTAAATTAATATATTTTCTGATGTTATCCTGAAATAAACTCTGCATGGTGATGATGATCATTTTTAATTCACTGTTGGGTTTAATATTATAATTAGAATTTTTTTTACTTATACCCAATTAAAGATTGATTTTTCATTTTCTTTTGTTGCACTGTCCTTATCCAGTCTTAGTATAAGATTATATTATCTTTAAAAAGAAACTGGATAGCTGTTTCTATTTTCCTCTTTTCTGGAATAACTTGTATAACACAAGGATTATCTTTTTTGTTAGAAAACTGGCCCATAAAACAGTCTAGGCCTAGTAGACTGCATGGAAGTTTGAGGAAAGGGGCTGTTTTGTTTGGTTTGGTTTGGTTTGGTCTTTTTGAGACAAGGTCTCGCTATGCAGTTCAGGCTGGCCTTGAGCTCACTTTGTAGCCCAGGCTGGTCGAGAATTCACAACAATCCTCCTGCCTCAGCCTCCTGAGTGCTGGGATTACAGGTATGTGCCACCACGCCTGGCTAAAGGGCCAGTTTTGACTGCCTACTCATTTTATTTTACTATTGCCAGTCTATTCTTGTTTTTAGTGTTTGTTGGGTCCTTTTTAGTAATTTATATTTTCTAGGAAATATTCTATTTCCCTAAGTTTTCAAATGTCTTGAAACCATCACCCTTCAGTCCTTGTTGGGGATGGAACCTCCTGTCTGCTCCTCAAGGGCTCAATGCTGAAGCACCCCAACAACTCAAGCAACACCTCTTTCTGTCCTTCATATCTGAATACAAAGGACAAAAGTCCCTACTTTGAAACAGGGAACAGCATGCTTACAAAAACATTTAAAGGGCTGGAGTGAGACACCTGGAACTCTAGAACTAACCTCTTCCCGAGGAGCCACCAACCGTGGCACCTCCAGGAAAGTGGGGACCAGAATCTGCTACAAGGACCGTTGAGCTCAGAATACAGCTGTGGTCCAGGGTCAGGGTGAGGAGGGCATTTTTGGTACGGGGGATCAAACCTGTGACCTCATGCTTGTCAGGCAGGTGCTGTGCTGCTGAGCTAAATCCCCAGCCCACGACTCCCAAAAGCTGTGACTAGATGTGACCCAAGGAAACCAGAGGCAGCCACTATTGCTACCAACTCTGGATGCTCTCAAAGCTGGACCCTGACTGGGAGTCTCCGCTCCCAAACCTTGTAAGAAAATCAATCCAAAGCTGCAGGATGGCAGCCGTAGCTACCAAGGTGCCAACCAAACCTCCCATAGGTGCAGCCAA